CATTTAACTATAGAAAAATAGATCTGGAGATCCGAAGTCCAATTTCATTAGTTTTTTGTTTATTTTAGGACAATATTAAGCAGAATCATAAGTGTTATGTTGACGAGAGATGATTTTGTTTTTTGTTCTTCACGTTAAGAGTTCGAATCATCGTCGCCGCTGTTATGGTCCGGTTCCTTGTACCACGGTGATAGTCCAAGGTAGAACCAATAAAGAAGAACTCGAACACGGATATGGAATAACACAGATATATTACAAACAGGAATATATACACATTTGGAACTCGGTTGTTCTGTTCTAATCCACTCGCCACATTCACCTGACCTTCCTTGAACTAATTATTATCTTTTGTGATAGGCTCAAATGCTTTGAAAGAAGACAACGCAATGCGGCATACAAGAAGAAATGATAACATATAAAAAACATTTGGAACTCGGTTGGTCTGTTCTAATCCACTCAACACATTCACCTGACCTTCCTTGAACTAATTATTATCTTTTGTGATAGGCCCAAACGCTTTGAAAGAAGACAATGCAATGCGGCATACAGGAAAAATGATAACATATAAAAAACTCAGTTGGTCTGTTCTAATCCACTCGCCACATTCACCTGACCTTCCTTGAACTAATTATTATCTTTTCGATAGGCTCAAACGCTTTGAAAAAAAAAAACTTTCACGACTGAAAATCAAATTCAAGAGTTCGTCGATAAATTTTACATATCAAAACTTGTGAAATTTTACACGAAATGTACTGAAGATAAGTAGCAATAAAGTACTGCAAATAATGGTGAATATAAAATTGTATATAGTGTAATTATACGTTATTCTTTGAAGAACATCGTTGAAAAACAAAGAGGAATTAGTCATAACTCCATCTAGTAAATAAATCTACAGCGGCTTCATATTGAACAATAGAAAAGTGGAATCAAATCCCAGCAGTTATCCTATCTTTAGGGACAATATATATCCCTCTAACCACAGCTAGAAGGTAAATAGTAGGGTAAACTAAGTTCTTTAGCCTTGGTTAGAAACCAGTTTAAAAGAAAAAGAACACATACAATCCAAGAATGAATGAATTAAATGTCAAGACCGAAAATATATAGGCCAGCTACCATTCTCATCACGTCTCACACAACCCAAACTGAGTAGTGGTGGTTTTAACGCTGTGGTAGGCGGAATTCTGACAGTGATTGATTGCATTTGTTTAAAGTTTAATATAAGCCGGAAAACGCACTAAGAAAGTCAGTACAGTCACAGTGAAGAGTGAAGACGTCTCAGTCGGCTCCGCATTTTCCAAAGCATTCTTAGAAAAGCCACCACGCGTTGATAGCAAGTCACCGGCCGAGCCGACCTGTTGAGATCAGTTCTGTTTGTCTCGCTCTTCCAGTCGGTTCCTCTAAAAAATATGATATTATTACTATTCGGTTCCCTCGCCAGACTCGAAATAAAAAGAAAGAAACCTAAGAAAATTGTTCGCCGAACATTCAGTTTATGAAAAATTGCCGAGAAACCACAAGAAGCCAGAGACGCCACGCAACGCGACACGGCAGCTTTGGTAGCCATGCTGATGTAAGTAATTAACGCTTCCTGAAATATACAAACAACGGGGCTCTGGTGAATCTTCAGCCGGAAATAGATTATGAATAATTCTCGAGTAAAAACACAAAAAAGGAAAATCTTCCTATGATATATAATAAAAAAGAGGATACATACATACATACACACACACATATATATATATATATATATATATATAAAGAAAGAACAGTAAGATATATAATCCGTTGTTCTTATTGAATTTTTTTTATTTTTACAGAACAGTGCTCAACGTCAATTTAAAGATCATAAATATTATAAATTAACTGATTTAAAATATGTACAATAAAAGGAAGTTGTGGGAGGAAAAAAAAACAACTTCCTTTTATTGTACATTTTTCTGTGTTAATTTTAAATCTCCCGTTGAAGCCTGAAGAGCGGGAGCGAAACCGGTTGCTTCGCCCGTTTTTTTAATATGTCTCGTAATATTAAGTTTTATACTTTTATTTCGATCGTTAAATTTTGTACCTACAAAAATATCTTTAAATATATATATATGGGTATATACGAACATATATATATATATATATATATATATATATATATATATATATATATATATATATATAAATATATATATATATATATATACACTAGTAGATGGTTGATAGGAAATAGTTTTATGAAAATCATCCAGGTATTCTTAACATGAAATTTCGCATAATACAAACGTTTACATTTTTGCCGTGTTGTGGTAGCTCAAATGTTTGAATGACCGTGATCGCTCTGGCGGCGGGAATTAAAGCTCCTAGCAGTGTCAACCAAGCTGAAAAGGTGAAAAGGTAGAGGCCAGTCTAATGTCCACCACCTCGCCCAGAATTTAAATGAATTTGCATACGGTCAACAAAACTGTCTAGAAATGAACGAAGCTTAGTGTAACGCTCCTATAACTGCCTATACGTCTTAGGTGCGAAGTGATCCTTGTTGTTGATTAGTATCTGTGACAGTTTGCGTCCCGTTTTCATTGTAGGATCCTTTTTTACTTTGATGTAGCTACTGAGGTCTTCCAGCTTTCTTGTATAATCTGATTTGTCTATCACTGCAGTCGCATTGTCTTTGTCAGCCGGTAGTATAATGATGTTTTCGTTCCTCTGTAGGGATCCGATCGCCAGCCTCTCTGTCTTTGTTATGTTTTGTTGGCCTTTTCCAAGGTCTGTCTCACCTTCCATCTCAGTTCATCCGCCTGAGCCTGAGGGATGTTCAAGGCCACCTCCTCGACTCTCCTCCAAGTATAATATTGGTTGTGGCGAAGTTGAGACCCTTATTCAATACTGACTCCTCAGAGGCACTCATCTGATATTGGCTGATGTTGACTACTGCTTTCACTGGTGGGTGATGGACCTTGTGCGTCACCTTCTGATCTTTCAATCTATTTAATTTTTGTACTTGGCGAGCCTTGACTTCATCGAATTCATGTCTGAAAGATTTATCCAGGTCATTTTGGATCCTTCTCTGGTTTTCTTCACTAGTAATTCTGTTGAAGAACTCCACGAGCCTCTGGGACATATGAGCTTGTAGTCTCTGTTTTATCCAAAGATTGTACTGGATTCTCTCTCGGACAAGGGCGTGTCCCGCTTTCTCTGCGACCAGACGGGCCCTCCGGGAAGTCTTGATGCCAAGCCTGATGAGTTGTAGGTCCCTGCACCGGTGTAGGAATGTCAGATGGTTCGAATTCGTGCCAGTTTCTTGTAGGATTTTTCAACTTGTCGCCATATTTTTGGTATATCGGTTCCGTACCGATATTTCAGTATCTGTCTATATCTCTGAAATTAAGTATTATGTACATTATTTACATTATTAGGACTATTGTCCTCATTTTTTTCGCCATATTTATTACGACGTTTTGGTCTTTGTACGCTCCGGCAATCTTCAGGTGGTTGGAATGTCGAACTGAACCCTTTATTTCGCTGACTGGGGTAGACTGTTCTAGTTCCACTTGCCATGTTTTAATAGATATCAGTTATCAGTTATCTCCTGTTAATACCCCTCTCCAAGTTCTCCACTGCCTCATGCTCATATTCAATTTTTGTTGATATCATTGCATGTTTTTACCAGAGCTCATATTGCAACTTTCTTGTTATTATTGCTTTTCTCTGACACTCCTTATTACTGGCTCTCATATTGTATTCATTTCTATGCTTGGTCGGCTCAGGAGATTTTTGTGGCATAGCATATGTGCTGATTCCTTGAGTTTACGAAATTTCCAATGGTGTTCCTTGTCTATGATCACAACCTGATCCCACAGAGGGCGGTGATCTCCCTTCTTTTTCCATATGTGGTCAGCCACGCCTGATTTTTCCACTTCACCCTCGTGTTACAGCTTTCTGGTGTTCTTGAAGCCTTATCTTGAGGGGGCGGCCTGTCTCTCCTTTATATTCCTTTCCGCAGCTGCAATGATAACAGCAAAAATTGCAATATGAGCACAGGTAAAAATGGTTGCGGAGACATTAGGTTTATAACACCCAGAAATTCATACGCAAGGACATGGGACAGTGGATAAAGGCGTTGGTTAGATCCAGTGACAGGACCCAAAGTGTGTTAGTTCAATACCTGGTTAAAGGGGTGGAGAACTTGGTGAGGGTTATTAACAGGAGATAACTGATAACTGACATCCATTAAATATAGCAAATGTTGTGGATTCCGAGATGAATTCGGTCTCCAAGGAATGACAAACGCAATGATTAAATATAAGAAATAAAATGTATTTACACAATCATACAAAGGGTAATACTGTTAGTAAATCCAGGAACACGGTTAGTAGCAAATACAGACAGATATATACAGTCTCGAAGTAGGACTTCCTTAGAGTCTACGTGCTTGTAACTAACTTCTACAAGAGGTTACCTCACACTATCTCCGTTCGTATATTCTCTCACTATATCCTCTCCCTCTCGCCGTATATCCTCTCTCTATCCGACTACTCTCACTGACTGTAATTTAACGGCAGCAGTCCAGGTACACTGGTAGAGTCAACTTATATAGAAAAGGGGTGGACTCCATAACAGCAACAAAGATGAGGACAATAGTCAGAATAATGTAAATAATGTACCATTTGCATGTTATGTCCCTAAACAACAATTATGAATACATTGCTAGTCTCCACAACGATCATTTTAAAAAATTATTTGAAATTGAAGATTTGTGGCAAACGATTGTAAAAACAAAATATTTACTTTTTCCCTGGTCATTTGTGTCGTCGTGTTCTTTGTCAGCTTTGAGATACTCATGTGTCATATAACGAAACGATCAATAAATTATACTTACATCTTCAATAAATGTGTGAAGAGAATCTTCAACATCGGGTGGCGAGACAAGATCAACACTGAGGAATTTGGCCCAAGAACAATGTAAGATCCCGTTGCGGAGAAAGCGGAGTCGGATAGGAGAAACTCTCAGAAATCTATCATCCAATGCCACCCGCTAAGCCATGGTTTGCAACTGGAATGGAGAAAGGAAGAGAAGACAGCCAAGCAGCACATAGAGACATTACCATGGGAACAATATAAAAAGGAGAAACAACTGGAAAGAAGCAACAAGGAGAATCCGAAACAGAGTTCAGTAGAAGATTGACTAAAATGGTTTAGACTTCACTGAGAGTAAAAAAGAACAATAGTTTAAAATCTTCGAGAAATCACACCTAAAATTTTGAGCAGTAAAAAATTAAATGCGCTGAAAAAGATGAGAAGCAGAAGAAGAAAATGGATGAAAAAGAAAGAAATGCTTCATCATCATCAATATTTTATGTCATGTTCACTGAGAACATCGCTTTCCATAACTTCCTGACGAATATACCTGTGAGCAACGTTTGTCTATTTACCATCAGTCTTTTTCCTTGCTGTCATCCATTCGCAGAAACTCATTAAACAAATTGTTCCCTGTTTCCCTTTATGCATTCTCCATCAATACGACCTGTGAGTAATTAAATTTTTCACACCCTCCTTTCTTATAATGTTTTCCAAAATTTGCAACTATCTCTTGTAGTTCCCAATTTCTTAGAATATTTCCACAGGAATAAGAAAAGAGCAAAATGAATCTGAAGATTGTAAATACCATATATTCTTGAATATATTGGAAGATTTATGATCAGCTATTTTACGCAAAAATAGGTGGTCGCTCTCTACATATCTTTTATGAAGAAGTTGAAAATCATGCATTTTCTGTGACCGCTTGCACTAAACACATGTATTTTTTCTGGAGGGGGCTAAAATTCATGCAAAATAATTCAGGGGTCTCACTATATATAAAGTCGACTTGTACACGAATATATACGGTAGAATAAAAATAGTGAAAAGATTAACTGTTTAGGAATCGAGGTTTAATACGCAGGAAAATCTTCCCACTGTCTCGTACGGGAAGAGTGTGGACATCTCTACTGCAACGCTTATCTATTCGTCGGTCTGGCCAGCTTTTGTTCACTCATCAACTCGAAACATCCCCTCTTCGGACGCTGTGAAAGGCAGAATACATTTCTAGTGACGTCAGATTCATGAATTTGTCAAATAAACCGACCGCTCGCTTCAATTCGTACGCTGATCTCACTTTATTTCCCTGTCAATCTCGACCATTCTTGTATCGCTCGATTTCGTCCGACGGAAGTTGCATCCGAGAAGTCTAACAAATTCCGGGACTATCTGGAGACAAAAGACGCTTCTGAATGACAATCGTCGGATGTCAAAGGAGGTCGTGGTACATATTGGGTCAGAGATGGTTTTCCAGAAATTGAAAGAATTCTAACCTCGAGCCATAATGATGCTTGCTTATTGCTTCCAAAGAATACCCAATGAGAAAACCGTGTTGAACATAATGCTAGTAATAGCTTGGACATGGCGAAACTATATTGTTTCCTTTTGATAAATATAAAAGAAAAGATTTATACTAGCAGATAAATAAATATATCTGAAAAGACTGTAATAGATAGATAGATAGATAGATAGATAGATAGATTCTGAGATAGATATGAACAGTCTGAAATAGATAGATAGATAGATAGATAGATAGATAGATAGATAGATAGATAGAAAGAAAGAAAGAAAGAAAGAGATATGAACAGCCTGAAATAGATAGATAGATAGATAGATAGATAGATAGATAGATAGATAGATAGATAGATAGAAAGAAAGAGACAGATATGAACATCCTGAAATAGATAGATAGAAAGAAAGAGATAGATATGAACAGCCTGAAATAGATAGATAGATAGATAGATAGATAGATAGAAAGATAGAAAGAAAGAAAGAAAGAAAGAGATAGATAGATATGAACAGCCTGAAATAGATAGAAAGAAAGAAAGAAAGAGATAGATAGATATGAACAGCCTGAAATAGATAGAAAGAAAGAAAGAAAGAGATAGATATGAACAGCCTGAAATAGATAGATAGATAGATAGATAGATAGATAGATAGATAGATAGATAGATAGAAAGAAAGAAAGAAAGAAAGAGAGAGAGAGAGATATGAACAGCCTGAAATAGATAGATAGATAGATAGATAGATAGATAGATAGATAGATAGATTCATTCGAATGTATCTATAACTTTTGGGAGCAGACTCCACAAATATATTTTCTTTTTATTATCTGTGAATTGCAATGAATTCTTGGTTTAGATAGTGGGCTAGCTTCCCGTTGACTTCTGCACAGTTTGGAAATCAGAGTTTTACTTCTCTTAGATTTGTTGATCTAGAGGGCGTAATCTACTCTACTGTTTAGCCAATAGCCAGAGGGCTAGAATAAAAATGTTCATGCCTTTACCAATGTCATATGTACAAAAACGAACGCAACAGACAAGCCTAGAATTTTAACTCAGCTTGACGATTCCACTTTCCACGCTGATATCCGTTTCACTACCCACGGATTCAAATCGATAGATAGATATATCAAAAAAATTATTGGACACTTTCTCCATAAATTTGATCCGTGCATGTGACAGCTTATATGCAAACTGGAAAATATAATGAAAATTATTAGACCATAGTTCTTGCTGTCTATGTATACGAGATAGAAAAGTTCGGTACATAGATCAAACTTTCCTAATAATGATTTTATTTATTTCTTTCCCGAAAAGAAATGAGTCTCTTTCACCTGTACTTATTTAAATATTCACTCGCTTTACGCGCAGAGGTGGAGCGAATGAGAAAACTATTTGTTTCCTTTTAAATCGGCCATTATAGAAAGCGGAATATTTTTTTTATTCCCTATTTATATTCGTACATAACACTATCTTGATACTTAGTTATTAGTTAAATTCTTGACTGTAATTTCCATTGTATAATTTACTATCTTCTTTTTTATTCTTTCATGTGTCGTTTATCGGCGTGGGTAATCCTGGATCTTGTTCCTATATTTGTTTGTTTTTTGTTGCTCACACTAACGCTTTCACATCTTCCTTAATGTCTGTTCTGATATCTGTTGAAACTTGACTAATGCATGGAATAATAATGCAACACAAACTGTGCTTAGAACAAACTGTATTGAAACAAGAAAATGTACACAATATTTACATATAGTCTTTTGTATATTCCTGGTAAGACCGTTCCTGGAGAATGTGTTGACTGAGTCGCAGTCGGGCAGAGTCTCTGGTTGAATCTCTTGATTCCTCCCTCTCTTTCCGGTATCAACTATATTTATATGGTCGGTACTCCACTATGCAAATTAGGTGGATCCTACCACAACAATATCTATTGACAAAAACTCATAGCTTCCTCGCAGTTTTCCCTCTGCTTCTCATCTTTTAGTATACCCTATGTTCTCTAGGCCTACTTTACTCATTATGTGTCCCACAAATCTCATTTGTCTTTTCCTAATTTGTATTGGGTTGGTGCATAATTACCAGGCGTTTTGTAGGCGACTTATTTGTTAATAAAAATTGCTGTTTTGTACATTTTTTAATAAAAAATATTTTATTTTCAGGTTATAAAAATGCGTTTCGATAATCATACGCCCCGGAATAATCATTTTAAAATGTTGAATTATGTTTCTTTTTTCATAAATAAATAATATTTTTGAATTGTTTCTTTTTTCATAAATAAATATTATTATTGAATTGTTTCTTTTTTCATAATAAATAATATTGTTGAAGTATGTTTCTTTTTTCATAAATAAATATATTTGTTGAATTATGTTTTTCTACCTAAATATTATTGTTTAATTCCGTTTCTTTATTCATAAATAAATATTATTGTTGAATTATGTTTGTTTTATCATAATAAATATTGTTTAAAAACCCCTGATAATTATGCACCAATCCAATATAAGTTTCATTGTATTTTAAGACTCTCTCGTTGGTCACATCGATCTATATGATATTAACTACTGAATTAGTTACAGTGACAAAGAAGGAAATTGTGTTAAAAAAATAAATATTTGTGGACATATTTATGTGCCTACATAGATACAGCATAATTAAGTTAAACAGGTAATCACTAAAACCATTTTAATTACATTGAACAAACTTGTTTGGCGAGCGTTCAGTTTGATCAAACCTGAAAATGTTAAGCATTTAATAATTTTTGTGTGAGGATCCATTCAATTTCCCCTCAGAGAAAGCTATAGAAAAAATTGAAGAAAAAACTCAGTTGCTAACTTGCCCTAATGCAAAAAAATAAATATAACTCAATGTACCTCAGTAAATATCGCCACTAACTGAACGAAGCCCACCAACTTCATTGCGAATCCCGATTCTGCAACAATTTGCAACAACCTGTAATGGCAAATCTTCTCGCGAGCTATCTTTATGAACATAGTAAGTGTACCTTGCAGGTATTTTCGAAGATTGGTCCCGTAGTCCAATCTCAGATCCAAAGGACACCGTTTCCGTAAATTGCATTACGTTCCATTCAGGACTCTGGAGTCGAATATGACAGAAGGACCGCCATTTTCACTGCTACATCTTTTAATAAATGTATCGCTGGAAACTAAAATCATTATTGTGTTGATTTCAAGTATCATGTCAACCAGCTTAGGACATGCTTTATCATATCGAAATATTTGTGGATACCATTTGCATGTTATGTCCCTAAACAACAATTATGAATACATTGCAAGTATCCGCAGCGTACATTTTAAAAAATCATTTGAAATTGAAGATTTGTGGCAAAGGATTCTAAAACAAAATATTTATTGTTTCCCTTGTCATTTATGTCGTCGTGTTCTTTGTCAGCTATGAAATACTTAAGTGTCATATAACGAAACGATCAATAAAATATACTTAAAACATCTTCAATACTAATGTCTCTTTTTATGGACATGTGCAGGCCAGAACTGTAAAATAGAGTATCGTTTTAAAAGAAGGCATTAATAACAAAAGTGTACAGAGAACAAAATGAACACAAGGCGGTAATTCCAAAAAGGGGACATTACATAATTAATGCCGTTTGCCATTTAACATATAGTGTTACGAAATGTTAGTTTAAATTCCTTGTCGCTGTTCAGGTGAAAAAAATATACAAACAGCTCATGATTTTCATGACTAACGATGATCTTAGTCCATTCCAGGAGCTTATCGACTTGGGATATGAGACGTATTCCCCTGATCTTTCGACCACTGAATACCACTTTTTCATGCATCTTGACAATTTTTCTATACCAAAATTCTTCTCATTGCAAACAAGATGCAAAAATGCACTCAAATATTTCTTAGCACCTAAGCCTTTAGTTTTATCTTAAAGGCATTAATGACCTTGTAACACGAAAGCAGAAATATATAAAGGGAATGTTTAAATCGAAACATTAATTCAGCAATAAAAGTTCATTACAAAATCGGACATTATTTTACAAAAACCTCATATATTAAACAAGGTCATAAACTGCCGACTTGTTATCCGAAGGAGAAAATATATACTGAGAAATGTCTATTACTGTTCGTGATAGATTTTTTTTTAATTTTCATTATTAACGTGATTCAAGTTTCGTGTTCAGCAATGTCGATCCTGGGCGGTGTTTATATTGAAAGTCACTGTGTAATACATTATTTGTCGCATGTCTTTAAAGAAACAGACTTGGTTTTAAGATTTCAAAGAATGATTACTCAAGAAAATCAGGCAATCAAAATCATAAAGCATTTAATCGGGTTTCCTGATTCTAAACATCATATTTCAAGCAAATGATCAAATGAAGTTTTTTTAGTGTAAAAAAAAGCAAATGTTTCTCTCAACAACTAAAATCTTGTTCTAAAGTCATCAAGGAAATAAAAAAAATTGATTCACGTCAACAACAGAATCAAAATAATAAATCAATGTGTATCATCATTAATTTAACCGGAAACTTTAATAAAACCTGAAACATGAGAGTAAATATCTGCTTTATTTATTGAAATTAATGCTCACTAGAATTTGGTTTGCTTTGGTTTGGTTTGTTTTACGACATATCAACCTCAATCGGTTAATTAATGACAAGATTTTCGTTGCTGCTAATGTTTTTTTTATTCAAAAATGTATTGCTGCTAATGTTTTTTTTCAAAAATGTATTGCTGCTAATGTTTTTTTTATTCAAAAATGTATTGCTGCTAATGTTTTTTTTATTCAAAAATGTATTGCTGCTAATGTTTTTTTTCAAAAATATATTGCTGCTAATGTTTTTTTTATTCAAAAATGTATTGCTGCTAATGTTTTTTTTCAAAAATGTATTGCTGCTAATGTTTTTTTTATTCAAAAATGTATTGCTGCTAATGTTTTTTTTTATTCAAAAATGTATTGCTGCTAATGTTTTTTTTTTCAAAAAATGTATTGCTGCTAATATTTTTTTTCAAAAATGTATTGCTGCTAATGTTTTTTTTTCAAAAATGTATTGCTGCTAATATTTTTTTTCAAAAATGTATTGCTGCTAATGTTTTTTTTTTCCAAAATGTATTGCTGCTAATGTTTTTTTTATTCAAAAAATTATTTTTCACCTCAAAAATTTATTGCTGGTAATATTTTTACAAAAATGTATTGCTGGTATTCAAAACTTATTTTCACACTTTCACAATGTCTTGACTCCAGTTTAGGGGTTAACGATCTGCCAACAGCTGAAACTCTAACAGGTGCCACCATCCTGGGTCAGGGTAAACCCAGGAATACCAGCAATCAAGAGGTGGTTCCACGCTACTCAAAACCTCCTGATCAGACGCCTTGCTGTCGGATACAGTTCATCGTCCCACCCAGTAGGTGGATGCAGATTATCATCATACATAGGAGGCCACTAGAATTTGAAAACAAACTGTTTCTTATTAGATTGAGTCCTAAATAATTTCCTTTTTGTGGAACCTATTACAATAATTACTCTTTTATCCTTACTATTAATCATACGCGGCAGTTAGCAATAAATTTAAAGGGAATTAATATAACTTTGTTTTTACACAACAGTGACAGCGTACACAGTAGATTAAAGAATGTATTTCTTAATACCACGAATGGAGTGATTGAAATTGTATTTACGTCACATAATTTGAAGAGAATAACGTAATGGAAACATCTGGAAAAATAAGTAGGGTTATGGTTAAGGAGTGATAACTGAATAATAACTAAGTATTTGGTTTGCATCG